TATGTTATCTGAATTTTTTGAATTTTCTTCAAACTCAGCATACTGCAATCTAAGACCTGCAGTCTTAGGTAATAAAAAGCATTCCCATCAAAAATAAATGAATACATTTTCAGTTAGTCTTCAATATCAATGACAGATATTTCAATATCACAGAGGCAGATATTTCTTAAAGAATAAATACCTTAAAGAACAGCTCAAACAAATCTACCCAAGCCTCATAACCTCTGGCCACATAACTTAATCTCTTTGATTTTAACTTCTATATCTTTACTCACTCCAAAACAGACTTTTTATTTTTAAGTTTTATAGACTCTGCAATTTAGTGAAAATTATGTTATTTCTCAGTATTTTAGAGTGCCTTTAGCCCAAAGCTCTCAGGGCTGACTCTGGACATTAAAATAGAAATTATCTCTTAAGTATCAAAAGTAAATATTTTTCTGCCTAGAAGGACAAAAGTCAAGCTATTCAAATCTATCCTGACTGCAACACAGAAAATCAGTTGATCATATCTACAATTGAAAAAGACTCAGAAAAAATTCTCCAGTTGCACTCTCTAACTCTAGTATATTATCCATCAGAGATTAAACAAGGTTTTTCTATACCAACCACAAAAACAGAAGAGTCCACGTCAATTTTCTAAAAAGAACATCTTCCACTTCATTTAAGCATTCAAGTTTTACCAAAGTCTACCTAGCAAAACTGTTATCTGCTGAATTTTAATAGCAAGGTAAGGGGGAAAAAATCCACAAACAGCAAGTGTCCTCCAATCTCCAAGCAACATTTCAACATCTTTTTTTTAAAATAAAGTGTATTTGGGTTTTCACACACAAAATACAAGTAAAACATCTTTTTTGAAAATAGCATGGTCCCGGGTTGAACTTCTTTATACAGACACAAAACTCAATTTCATGCTCCTTTTTGTATTCTATTCCAGGGGTCCCCAACCACCGGGCCGCAGACCGGTACCGGTCCTTGGAACATTTCCTACCGGGCTGCTGGTTTGCTGGGCGCCGCCATCTTGTTTGACAAGAAAGTGCTCCCAGGTGAGCTTTTCCGTTTGGAAAGCGGCGTTTGGGTCCTGAAGGAATCCTCATGCCTTATTTTCATCGAAGGGGGGGGGCTTCAAATGAAACTAAGGCACAAGGATTCTTTCAGCACCCAAGGCAAGGCGAGCCGAAGCCGTCCCGAAGCGAAGCCCATCGACAAAGGTACAAAGGAGGAGTTGAAGGTGGCGGGGAGAAGCGGGGCGGCTGGCTGGCCAGTCGCTCGGCTCGCCTTGCCTTGTCATGCGTGCTGATCCTGGTACCGTGCCGCGGATCATTTTGTGATGCCGGTACCGGGCCGTGGCACAAAAAAGGTTGGGGGCCACTGTTCTATTCCATATCTTATACTATTTTACATTTTCTATATAGTTTTTCCCCTCTTAATTTTCTCAATTTTATTTTGATTATCTCATCTCAATTCAAATCATTATATTTATACTTTTGTCTCTTCTGTTTCATATTATCTTTTCTCATTAAACAAATTTTCTCCTGTAGTTATTAATTGGAGTATGACACCTTTATATCTTTTAATTACATCCATTCAACTCTTATTTAAACTTCAATATATACCTTAAGGTTATGACCTTCAATATAATATATAATACATAACTTCCAATCGAATTTTACTTGGCACATTCTTATAATACGTACTATATTCTTTTTTTTAAAAAAAAAGAAAGATTGCAAATATATGTAATTATAAAGCCTCATTCCATTCCAGTTCAGTTCTATCATTAATAATCATTAAAACCATAACATCTTTAACACTTCTTTTCAATTAAATATCATACTTCCTTAAAAACACATGTAATCTCCATAATTAATTTTTCCCTTATTTCTCTTCACGTTTTATAAATCATTAAATATACCTTTTGTTACATTTATATATTGACAAGCATTCCACTGAATTACGATAGCTATTTTATCAGACATTTTAATCATACATTGTTTCATATTTTCTAAAATTATTTCTGCTTCTAATATAACCATACTATCTTATGTACCTTTGCAGAATCCCCTTTTCCATTAAGTTTTCACCCATTATATCTAAATAGACCCTGTTTCTCTATATTTTGCTTCTGTCCTTTATAACTTCTTTTCCTTTCTTTCTTCCCTCTCACCTTTTCCCTCCCCTTTTTACCCCCTTGTCTCTCTACTTTTAATTCTCTTCTGCATTTCCCTCTTCTGTTGCTTTCTGATTTTATACTTATTTTTCCCAATCTTAAACTTTCCATTCTCTTTCTCCCCTTTCCTTTTTTTCCCCATCTAAGATTACTTGTTCATTAAAGATGGTTTCTTCTTTGTCGCAATCTTCTTGTTCTGCAGGCATTTCTTGTTGTTTCTCATAATTCCAAATCTCCATTTCTAAAAACTGAAATACGAAGCCAAAAGAACCTCTCCCTTCTTGTGCATTTTCTTTGTACTTTTTAAGTTCCATTTTCAGTTCTTCTAAAAGTGGAGCCATTTTAAAAAGTTTTAAACAACCACCCAATTGATTTTAGTCATTCAAAACAATAATCAAGAATCCAGAAATCATCAAGTAATCCAGATAGTCCCGAGTTATATCTTCTTATTTCTTTTTTGACTTTCTCTTCCTGGGGTTTTTGTTGCGATTTTTCAGTTAGAATGTATCTTTTGGAAGTCTTGTTGAGATTTTACTGTAAGTTCTTTTTTTAATTCCAGGCAGTTTCCTCCCTTCCAGATCCTGCCCTTTTATTCTTCCTCTCCCCTTTCCTGTTTTCAAAAGCTTTTAATTATCCAGAAATCTTTATTATCCCTTTGACTTTTTATTTTCAGCATTAAATGCCTATTGATGTCAAAGTGGATTTTTTTTCCAATTTCTTGCTTAAGTCTCTTGGCTGTCAGCATAAGAAAAGGAGAAAACCAAATCTTTTCCCTTTTCTCTCTCCGCAGCTTCAAAATCTTCTTAGGGAACAATGTTACTGTTTTTTAACAGTTTCAGTTCCAGGGTACCTTATTTGTTGCTTTTGCTGTTTGACCTGGTCAACCAAAACTTTCTCTTATCTTCCTCCTGCACATTCTTTTCCAGTCGAGTTCTTCTTTGTGGTGGCCATTTCTGACCACTGCTGCAACCGCCTTTGGGAAAGGGAGTAACGGCCAGCTAGGGAGGAGAGATGCGGCTCTCCTCAACCCTGCTGGCAGTCTCCCCCCTCTTCACCACCTCTACAGGGTGGCTTAGCCCCGAAACCAGCCGGCTTGGGGTGCTCCAGCGGCAAGGACAGATCGAAGCCTCGCAGAGACGAGGTTTCAGTCTGTCACTGAAGAAGCTCAAACCGGAAGTCAACATTTCGACATAGCCCAGATTGAGAAATCCACTGATCAAGATTTAACTGATGGTGCGAATATATGTGACTCCAACAAAATGATGCCATTTCATTCAATTGTGAACTACAATGCTTAAGTGTCACAATGTCTTGCTCTAGTTGGGAAATTTGGTAGTTACTGGGAAATATTTTTCTCTTTAGTATTTATGTCTATAACCCGCTAAAACCAAAGCTATTCAAATCAGTCTTTTTGAGGAAAAATACTTTCTGCATCTTGATTAAAAGCAACGGTAGAATAGTGACATTTCTGGTTCTTTTATATCCATGATGGCGAACCTATGGCACGTGTGCCACAGGTGGCACACAGAGCCATGTGTGTGGGCATGTGAGCCCCAGGCAAATTTACCTCACTGCGCATGCACGCACCTCCCAGCCCATTTGAGGCCTTTTTTGGCCTCCCAGAGGGTCGGGGAAGCCTCTGCAGCCTTTGTAGGCTGAAAACCAGGCCCGTTTTGTCACTTCCTGTATTTCCGGAAATACCGGAAGTGACTAAACGGGTCCATTTTTTCAACCTACAAAGGCGCTGAGCAGGCCGAAAAAGGCCTCAAACAGGCCGAAAATCAGCTGGGAGGTGCAGTGCAAGGGGGGGGGGAATCATGCGTGCATGCGCAGGGGGCGTGGAGGCACGCATTGCCTTCTGGGTGCTGGCACGTGACTGCAAGCACAATTTTTGGCACAGGAGCCCAAAAAGGTAAGCCACCACTGTTTTATACTGTGGTTCTTTGTTAAGAAATGTTAAGTGTATTCTTACTAGTATGGATGCCAGATAGATAGAAAATAGGCAAATAGCCATGGTAATCAATGCATGAAAGCATATCCCCACATACAAAGATTTTTTCCCCTTTTTATGTCTCTATAATCCCTTGCTTCAGGGTGGAATCAGGGCAACTGAATGAAGCTGAACGTTTACTGGCTGGATGACCTTCCTGATGTCTATGTGTGGTTCACAGCAGTTATTTTCTCTTTGTGCCCTGGTGGAGAAATATCTGTTGCTGCATATAATTGAACTCTCAACTTTCTGAGTAGGAGGTGAGTATCTTCACCTCTTGACCACTGCACCAATAAATAGGAGAACGTAGGGTGTAATTTGCCATTCATTTCAAACAGAAAAAAAAGGTGAATTCATTCTAATTTTGTATACATTAGAAAGCATTAGAACTTGCATCTAAAATCTTGAACTAAATCTATAAAGCTATAAAAGATTAGAGCTATTAAGTAATGAAACACCCTGCCTCCTGAAGATATATGGCTGCAATTTTCAAGAAAAACAGGACAACTATTTATTCAGGATGGTATGTGATTTCCTATCCTGAGAGTAGAAGACCTCCAAGGTCCCTTTCAGCATTGTGATTCTATGAATTAATCAATTTCAAGGATACCATCAAAAGAAATTAATTCTGAAATATTTTAAAGGATTTTTCTGGTATAGGCACAGCTTACTGCACAAATCTTCAAAAAACTCCAACATATCCAAACAAAGACACTAAATCAGATTTTGAACATATTGAGAGTATCTTTTTGCCAACATATATACACAGAGGATTAGAAACAGCAATTATGAGAATTCTTAAAAGTAGGGGAAAAAGTGAAAATTTAATTTAAAAGTACTCACCAAAGAAATCAAAAGAAAATGGGTCTCGTCCACCAAAGAATTCCCTAAAGACATCATCAGGATCCCGGAATGTAAAGCCATATTCAAATGGACTGTCAAAATGGCTTCCTCCTATAAAAAGAATATTCAATATATCGTTTTCCAGAATAATAAATCATCCCGTATATAATTTAGCAAGAGTACCATTTTAATACCAAATTGTTGCAATAATTGTATTTCTTGAATTTTTGTCATTTTATCAAGCTTAGCACAGCATGTGATGTCTTATTTTTCTTTCTCAAAATCCTTGCCAGATCAGGGATAGGATGTAAAAATTTGACTTAGATGTAGCCATACTTGGGAGTAGACTACTGAAATCGGTTGTCATATTTATCAGAATCCCTATTTCTAAGCCAGAATCCAGATTTAAATTTCTAATGTTCTATTTAAATCAGTACACACACCTTTTAAAAAACCATTGGTAGATTGTTCCATGAATATTTACTATTTTAAATTAATTTTTATTGAAGAATTTTTACACATAAAAACAATACACATTTTTAAAAATGATAAATAAAAAAGACAGAAAAGAAAATAAGATATAAAGAAGGTTCGAACTTTCTTTATTGCAATTATTTTATCAGTTATTTTATTTTATCTTCTCACTCTTCCCATATTTTATCCTTTCTAATTATTAAAGCTATAAGGAATTTCACAAAAATTTACATTAAAAAAATAGGAGCAGCAGTATTAAATCCTTACATACCTCCACTGGAATTTAACCCTTCTTTTCCATATTTGTCATAGATATCACGCTTTTTAGCTGCAAAGAAAAGAAGTACTTAAACTGCAACTATAAATCCAAGACAACTATTTTGAAGATCTCATATTTGCTTTGTTCTATGGATTCCCCTCTAAACATCTCCACGTGTAACAATCCTATTCAGCAAAATTCCCTGACTTTTAAAAGACCAGCTTGAGGATCCAAAGGAAAAAGAGAAAAAAGCCAGCCTCTTCTTTGAGTACTTCTTTTAAATCAATCTTTGGTATTTGCCATAAGTCTGAAGATTATGAAAAAGTTTTAGGGAATGCACTACAATTTCATTCATAATGATTCATCAATATAATTCTTAAGTAGGATGAAATATGTGACAAAACTGACATCTTTTTCCAAATAAATAATTTGATTCTGGGTTATACAGCAAAATACTATTTCTTCTTAAATTCAGTTAAAAGTTAGCAAAATGTTCAATATGACAGGTTCCACAGGTATCATTTTTTTCAGGACCTATAGATTAATAATATCACAGGAGTTCCTAAATCTTTCATCGCCTCACCTACCCTTAATGTATCATTCAAACTTACAATGTTGGCACTTATGACCAGGTCTTGACTTTCTGGCTCACAAAGCACCCTGCAGTCCCATGTTCACCATTTCCCTATTGTTTTCCCACAAGTAAAGTCAATGGGAAAGACTGCAGGAAGTCAAAAGCCATGGTCACATTAGGTGCTTAAGAACCTGCAGTAATTTGTTTAATAGTAACTGGGGACTGCCCACATAACATCACACATTTTATTACTATGTTACTTAGGCAAGAGAAATTCTAGTTCCTATTACTATCATTAATCAAGGACTACCTGCAATCTTAATTTATACATCTCCCCTAAAAATCCAAACACCAAAGTGAACACAAATGATATGAAAAGGATACAATGAAACTCTGGGAAAGATAGATTTATTGCAACAATCTACAACTAAGAGGTTCTTCACACCTTCTCTTGCTCTCTCCGCATCTCCCCAAGGGAGATTATACTTTGGGAAAACCTAGCATATGATATTTGCTAAATATTTGCTAAAAATGTCAACTGACATATTGGTGGTAGGGGAGAGTGCAAGTAGACCAAGCTGCTCATCTTGGCCTAATTTGTATAATTTACATTACAAGTAGTTGTCTATTTCCAACCACAATTGAGGCCCAACATTTCTGTTGTTAAATGAGACACTTGTTAAGTGAGTTTTGCCCCATTTTATGGTTTTACTTGCCACAGTTAAGTGAATCACTGCAGTTGATAAGTTAGTAACCTAGCTAAATGAACCTGGCTTCCCCACTGACTTTGCTTGTCTGAAAGTAGCAAAATAGCAATAGCACTTAGATTTATATACTGCTTTACAGTGCTTTACATCCCTTTCTAGGCAGTTTACAAAGTCAGCATATTGTCCCCAACAATTTGGGTCTTTTACCCACTTCAAAAGGATGGAAGGCTGAGTCAACCTTGAGCCTGGTGAGATTTGAACTGCAGCAGAAGTAGGTTGTAGTACTGCACTTTAACCACTGCACCAGAGGCTCCTAAAAGGTGATCACATGATCTTGGGACATAGCAATGGTCATAAATAGGAACTAATTGCCAAGTATTTGAATTTTAATCATATGATGATGGGGATGCTGTGAAGGTCATAACTATGAAAAATGGTCATAGGTCATATTTTTCAGTGTCATGGTAACTTGGAACTGCCACTAAACAAACTGTTGTAAGTCAAAGACTACCTATGTCTACCTGTTTACAAATTATATAAATATAAATTATCTTTCCCTTAAATATCCCACCTTCTCCCCATCTTAACAGCAACTTCCTTTCCTTCCCTCTCCATACCACACTGTGTACAATTATCCAGTGCAGCATGTCTCTATTTTTTCAGGGAAATTCCAGAGGAGGAAAACATTTCCACCCAATCCAGTCTTGCAGAATTTATTTGACGTTCTGAGACCACAATATATATTCAATAGTTTTAGGCATATTCTAACTTCCACACTGAGGTGGAAGTCTTTCATATTATTACTCACTATCTGACAGCACTTCATAAGCTTCAGCAACTTGCTTGAATTGTCTCTCAGCTTCTTCCTTATTATCCGGATTTTTGTCTGGGTGCCATTTTAACGCAAGTTTACGGTATCTGAAATCAAAACCAAAGATACTTTATTCAAGGACAACAGTGCATAAAAAATAATAGAAGAACAAGCTAGCCTGATGAACTAAGAATTTTTAACATTTTTAAACATCTACAGAAATATTGATTGCAAATGTTAATTTCCTAATGCATGATCAATATAATAATTTGCCCCTAATGGATTGCTCAAGTTTGAGAAATTATCTTGACCTATTGTAGCACTTTACAACAGCTATTCTAAGGATAAACCATTTGGATGGTTTGCACTGCAAGTCCCAAAAGAGCACAATAGAAGGAAATAGGGGGGAAATACAGCACAGAAAATTCACAGGCGTTCTAAATTCTATAAGCAGAATATGTAAAAAAGTACAAAACCTTAATTATTAAATTGTTTAATTAAATTATCCATACTCTGCAGTCCTAAATAGGATACAAAGTGCCATAATAGTTATAGTATTAACTATTTACTGGCTTCTATTCTGATAATTTTATCGATCTACTAATGAAACGTAGGAAGGAATGATTAGGAAACCAGTATTACCCACCAATTTCTTAATTTATAAGCTGATCGATAAACTTGTCCCACTTCTAGGGAGTAATTTTTGTAAGGTTGGTATTTATTCTTGATATAAGTTCCTAACACATGATTTTAATTCTGCAGCTATATTTGTTTCAATGTTTTAAAATATTTCTGCTTTAAACAATCTTTTGCAGCTAATAAATATTGGGCCGAGTGACCAATAATTATTTCAATTATAAGATTTAATTCTAGGTACATATAAATAAGCATTCCTGTGGCAGTAAAGGAAGCATAGGAAAACTGTTTATACACACACAGTTTTATGTGATTTAAAGCCTCCCTCCAAAAACAGCTAATGCAAGGAATACAATATTACCTCCCATAGCTTTAAAAATGAATACTTACGCTTTTTTAATGTCGTCTTGGGAGGCATGTTTATGCACTCCTAGAACTTCATAATAATCCACCATGTTTTATTGTGTTCGGGTAAGAATCCTGTAAAACAAGATTTTATTTCAATATAAAAACACAAATTTCTCTTAAAAAGTATGATGCGCCCTATGAAAATGTGGATTGTTAAATGACTGCCAGAAAAAAAAAATCATAGTAGGAAAAGAGCTTTGTAATCTAGATCAGCGACCTCCACCTTTTGGGCATCAGGAACTGGTTCTATGGAGGGCAGTTCTTCCATAGATGGGAAAGCACAGTTTTGTGCACTGTCTGGAATCTGTACATGGACAGATAAGGCTTTGCTCACATGCGCAGCTAGTTCCTGGCATGCCATTCCCCGCTTCCAATCCGTGGCCCAGGAACTGCTGGTCTTGGTGACACCCCCCCCCAAATTAGCATATTTTATAATAAAACTGTTTTTAATGAAGTTTTTAATCAGGTAAAATAGTATCTGAGTCTTAACTTTTGCCAATAAATTGAGAAGGCTCAACTAGACAATCTGAAAAATTTCTTATTCCATTGAAATTATGAAGATATCAGATAAGGAGCACTTTTAGAAAAAAATAAAACTAACTCGTCATATTCTTCTGAAGGGAATATTACAGCTGAGGTGCCCGAAGTGCGGGAGTGCGGGTGCATGTGAACACCCGCAGAAGACATCCAAAGACCAGCTGGCTGGTGGGAGGAGAGGCATCCCAACACCAGCAGCTCTGCAAAAGGTGAGATATTTTTCTTTTGTGAGCTTCTGTTTTGTCGTTTGCAGGAAAACTTTTGTTTCCCTGCAAACGATGGAGAGAAACGCTATGGAGAAATGCAGTGAAGCTGACCTGGGCAACGGGACACATTTCCACAGACAGGGCTCTGCGTGCCACCTCTGGCACATGTGCCATAGGTTCACCACCACTGCTATAGGGCCTCTTTTACTGCATCTTTCAATTATATTGCTATATTTTCATCCAAAATATAACACTAGTTCTTGTATCCTAATTTTTCATATCCTCGACAAACCTTCCACTTTTTTTATAATATAGTCCAAAGGTTTCCTACAATGATTGTTAGATTAGAACACTCAGTTTTACACAAAGAATATGCTAACCAAACGAATTGTAATCTAATGCCAAAGCTAGGAAAAGCAGAAGAAAAGTCACAAAAAGAATTCAGTATTTTATTAGGTTGATAAACTATTAATGAAAAAAATGTTATTCTGCAAATCTTTCTCTGAATACAATAATCTTTTCCTTTACTTTAGAAGACTATTATTAATTTTCAATCTTCCTTGTTTAACAAACGCAAATTCAAATAAACTAATTAATATCTCCACCCTTATGAATCATACCCTCATAAGGGAAAACTGAAACAGAATTATGTCATTTTATCCTTTATTGATAAGCACATACCGTGTAGCTCTGAAAATAGGACCCAGTGTTATATTTTGAGAGGGCCCTCCAAAATAAGTTTTATGGCTTATTTTCAGGGATAAACGATATCAGAATGATCAGCCTGGCTGGGCGACCCACTCTTCCAGCATGCAGACAAGATGTGGTGAGTGTACAAGGGCTGATGTTGTCCGGCAGCAACTGCAGCCCGTCGGCCCCTTGATCAGTGGAGTGCTGCACAGCCAGCACAGCATAGCACAGGGGAGTTGATTATCTGTCCAAGTAGCAGACGGAGGGAGAGGCACATGGGGGGAGTCATGTGATATCGACATGCTGCATAGGAAAGCCAAGTTGGTGGGCCAGAACTGGTGGCCAGCCATGGGAGGTTCATCTTCCCACGGCAGCACCATCAGCAGACAGAGACATGGGAGGAAGATAGGCAATCCTGACGCACCACATGGGCTGCAAGCTGAGAGATGTCAAGACGATCCTCCCACAGCTGGCCGCCCCCTCCACCTGTGTCTCAGTTTGCCTGTGGCCCGTATAGCGCATTGGGATCACCTGCCTTCTTCCCTGCACCTCTGCCTGCTATCATCCCGTGCAAAGACGAGCCTCCCACGGCTGGCCGACTGCTCCGGGCCATTGTCGACTGTCCTGCATCCTATGCATCTGGATCGCCCGCCTTCCCTCCATGGCTCTTTTTCCATCTGCTGATGGTGCTGACATGCAAAGACAAGCCTCCCGCAGCCACTTGCCCACTACAGCCCATCAACATTCGGCTTTTCTGCGGCCCACACAGTACATCCAGATCACATGCCTCCCACTGCACCTGCCTGATGTTTGGACAGGTAATCAACTTACCTGCACTGCACAGGCTGCAGCTGCTCCCGTGGACCATCAGCCCATACCACCTCCAGTGTTGGCCACACCTCACACACATGGCTGATGATGACCCTAACTGGGGCTTATTTTGGGGCTACGGCTTATATTAAGAGCACGCTTAAAAATATCAGGCTGTCTTATTTTCTGGGTAGATCTTATTTTTGGAGAATCGCATTAGTAGCAAGTAGAGATACAAATACAGATGCTTGCAAGCTTCCATAATGAGTGAAAACATTTTAATATTTTATACTAACATCCTATTTGTAAAACTATGTTTAACATCTACATGTTTTAGCCATATTAAACATGTACCAGAATTATCAGTTTTTATAAAAGTTATAATGAAAGAATGACATATGATAAGAGTTACTTATAGAATTGTACATGTAAGGATGCACTTTCGCGGCCTCAAAGCATCCTATTGGTTTTCAAATATTTTGCTTGCCGAGACTGGGAGCTTTTCTAAGGGCCGTGACCTGATGCAACTTCAGGCACGCATCCAGTTTTGCAGAGAATGGAGGCCTGAAGTTCTGCAAGATCACAGCGTCCAAAATTTTGCAGTCTCCATGCAAAAAGTATTTGCAAGTTGAAGGGAAGGATCTGCAATTTCACTGCCCCAAAGCCTGGTGTGCAAACATTTTTCTGCATTGAGATTGAAAGCCTTTGGTGGAGATTTACTGAGGTTGCCCATCCCTCCAGAAGCAGCAGGCAGTCCCAGTGAGTCAGAGAAGCCGAGCAGAGCAAGCCCATCCCGCTCTCCCTCTGCTCTCGTCACTCTGCTCTTGGAGCGCTGGGACCAGGCAAAGAAACTGTGGCAGAGAAACTGGAGAGGAGACAGCTCCCTAGATCTTCGCAAGGGGAATCCCCAAAGGCCCAATGCATGTGGAAACCCTGCGCGGCAGGATAGGCTGGGAAGCAATTGTGGGGAGCATAAGATATCTCAGTAGGTCAAGGGGAGGCCTTGGATGATCTTAAGCAGATGTCCTCTTTCATCATTAGCCCCCTCACGGCCTTCCCCACCAAAAGATACATCATGTGCACTTAATGACCTGTGCATTTGGAGGCATGTCCTCAGAATTCAACTCAGTCTGTAGAGCAACGAGGCTAGAGACTACCCGTAACCAACCTGGATTCTACCATCGACTCAGTGGAGAAACAGGAAGTTTTCACGTTCATTTATGTTATTCACTCCAACAAATCCTCGGGTTACAAATGTAATCTGCAGGTTCTATTACATTTGTAAATCGAGCACTACCTGTACAGAAAGAAGAGATGGGGAATAAAAGAAAAATAAACTGACTTGAAGAGAATTGATTCTGGGGAAAGCACCATCAAACAATTCTTAAGTCTTCTCCCTCAGACAGCCAAAGGAAATTAGGTGTGCACAACTGAATGTATGGCCTGAAAGTAATCCCTCCTTTTGTGGAGAGTGGGAATGTCCTGGTGAGTCAGTTATTGACTCCTGGTGACTGACTGGATTAATCCCTGCAGTTTTCTTTGCAAGTTTTTCAGAAATGGTTTGCCACTGCCTTCTTCCTAGGGTTGTGACATGTTCTTAAAGCTTATACTCACATCATTACCAAGCGATGTGGCCAATTTGGGCTTTAGTTATACAGAAAGGCCACCAAACACTTAAAATGTATGGGCAATCCTGTAGGACCCCTCATTATTGGGGGGGGGGGGGGGCAAGTGTCTTCCCTCATTTAGGCAATGTTTCTAAGAGACAAAGATCAACTGGAGAATTCCTGTTACTTTGCTTTCAGACACCAGAATTCCACCTTCCCTCATGTCTTCTATCAAGTGTAGAAGGTAAAAATTTATTTCATTTGCATAAAAATTAGGATAGGAAAACAACAGAAATGCATCCCAGTAACTCCCACATGCTGCAAGCTACCATAAAAGAAAGAAAAGATTATCTCTTCTTCCTTTACTGAGAAGAAAAGTGCAAGACTGGTTGATAAAAAACAAAAAAGCAAACCAGAGGAAGTAATATTGTGATTTATCATAATGCATCCATTCACAATTTAATTCCTTATGAAATAACTTGGTAACCATATAAAATACAAGTTCCCAAGTCAAACTTGACATTTGATTACATTAGGAACATAGAATGTAGTTTTCTTGACAGAAATATGAAATTAATTTTTAAGCTTCCAGCGTTTTTTCCAATATCTAAATCTAACTTGCAGACCTAGTATTATTATTATTGCTTTAAGCAAGCATGAATATTGGAATAGATAACTGATATAATTAAACCGGTATAAATCGCTAACAAATAGCATGTGCAAGCCAGCTAAAATTTTTGCGCTCAGCCAAGGTCAATTAGGTGACAATGTATATCAAATAAGGTATTGTACCCATTTAAAACATTGTAAATATTGATGTGCTTTGATAGTATTTATCTTGCAAATGCTCAATACAAAAGTAAACATTCTTCTAATATTACAGAATTATATCTTGGAAACTATACTGAAGACAGCCTAAATAGTTTTTCTAATTACAACACTGTATGCTGAAAGATGTGAACAGCTGATTTCAATGAAACTAGATAGGCAATCCAGTTTCATTGAAATCAGCTGTTCACAAACATCTTTCAATAATAATTACATATTAGGAGCCATTGCTAATTAAGGTAATATATTAAATATGTCCCTAGTATTATATCGGAAGTTGGCAATTTGGTTGCCTCCAGATGGTCCAGAACTGATAAGTATAACTAATGGCAACAGATCTGGGAGAGCAAAAAGCAAGGTACTTTGTTTCTTCTAAAATGTGTGTGTGTTCTGTTGTCAGAAAGAAGAGGCTGAAGAATATACGACAAATAAAAGGGAAGGAACCAAGAAACAGAAGGAATAGCTATTAAAAGGCAAAATGATGGTTAAGAAAAGGGCTATGGGAGCGAAGACTACACAAAATATCTATGGACATCTGGAAGGATGATACACTACAAAATAGTAGCTGCTGAAGGCAAAGAAGCAATATAGCAATGCAGATGAATGACCATTGCACAAATTGTCATTTACTTCTGTTACATCAAAATCAGACATGATTCATTGTTTCAAAAGTTACATGACCAAAAACAAAGAAGATATGAATGTAAAGTTTCTTCAGAGCATAGATTAATAATTATACAATTCCTGGTCCTGAAAATCCATTGGTCCTGCAAATTCTATTTTCCATGGAATATTAGTTTACTATTCCATATAATTTTAAAATAACAGAATTATGAACTGCTAACATATTCTCTAACATTACATCTTAGATTGAAAAAGAATGTTGTACTAGTTGTGCCCTCCTCTGTACCCTTTTGAAAATTCAATCTGCAAAAGGCTAAAAAATTTTCTAGAACAACCTGGGAGAAGAAGCTATATATGCCTCCTACAAATGGTAATTATATCTTTTTTCAATAAAAAGACTCTAATTGACTGAAACTTCTTTAATTAGCAGGAAAAAAAAACTGCAGAATCTGGAATTTCATACTAATTTTTTCTACCATGCATACCTTTACTATGAGATGACTAATATCCATCACAAAGAGTGCATAAAGTCTGTGAACCGTGAAGATATTGGTATAACAACTGAAAAGAAAAAAAAACCCTCAGAGAAGACCGCTGGACCAATACAGCTTCCAGACAGCTTTCAAGAACAACCCCTAAAAAGCACTACCCAAAATGAGAGATGACTAACATGCTCCAGAAACAAGCACAACCAGAGCACAAGATAGAGTTGTGCGAAGACCTACCTGACCACAAATGTCTTCTACTCCTTGAGTTGGAACTGTGAACCCAGAAGGCTGCCCAAAGTGTACACTGGTTCTGAGTGGGGGACTGTAAACGCCCCCAGAAGCAAAGGTGCAAAATCTCCAATTCCAGCTACAGGTGAGCTAAAATCCCATAGCTAGCTGGACTCACTTTACTGAGCTAAAGTCCATTCTTCTCTATGCAGGCCCCTACAGCATCCAGATAGAGAGGAACTTGCTGGGATTATCTGAGTAGCCCAAGGCAAAGTCAGACAACTGAATGTCATCAGCATATTTCATTCCATGTGGACAAATGGCATCATTCAGAATCTTTATGAAGATACTAAACAAAGTATTATTTAGAACAATTACAGTCAAGAGTTATTAGACAGAATAGAGATGGATGTGGGTATTTTTAATACACAGGAAGATTTTTTAATACTTATACAGGTAGTCCTCAATTTACAACAGTTCATCTAGTGACCATTCAACATAGCGCTGACTTATCATTTCTCACACTTACAACAACTGCAGCATCCCCATAGTCACATGACCAAATTCAGACCAGACGCTTAAAAACTGACTTTTATATACTTCTACTTGCAGTGTCCTGGGGTCATGTGATCCCCTTTTGCAACCATTTGACAAGCAAAGTCAACGGGGAAGCCAGATTCATTAAACAATGGTGTTACTAATTTAACAACTGCAGTGATTCACTTAACTGTGGCAAGAAAGGTTGTAAAATGGGGCAAAATTCACTTAACAAATGTTTCACTTAGCAACAGAAATTTTGGCCTCAATTGTGGTCATAAATTAAGGATTAGCTGTACATTTTTTCTTCCAGATTATTTACTGAAATTGTAGTGTTAGCTGAAATGTTGTAATATTATCTATAAAACAAACATCTAGCATTAAAACTCATTAAATCCTGTCTACAAAATATTTCCTTCCTACTTCGAGGAAATTTAATGGCCAGCTATTCTCTGAATTTCTATCATTGATATTTTTAAAAGATACATTCAATGTAATAATAATTATGTGCATGATATGTGAATATTCTATGTGTATGATGTGTGAGGCAAATTTATAGTTCTTTCCCATTTCAGCTAAAACCATTTACTGGTTTGGAAAAAAAGTTAGCTATCAATTCATAATAGACAAAGTGTTATAGAATCATTTCTGGCTGATGACTTCTTATAACAATAGAAATTTTTACGACAAAGAACAAAAACTAACCCTGGCTAGAGTAAAAAGGACAGAAAGTTCCCTTCCTCCACTTCATTGGGCAACGCACAGAAACACTGCTATCAGCAATAAATTCCACACACCATCGCATTACCTTGTTGCAATAGCACTGAATCCTTGTTGTGCTCCTGTGATCAGCTGCCTGTGGCCTACCAACAAATCCTGAGCCACCCCAAACTTTCCACCCACATTACCCCAAGGTGAACCACTTCATTTAAAAACAAAGCAGTTGAAATTTAAAAAGTACCTCCTACTCCCAAAAGAATGGATACTTGGCATTATTTTATCTGCCTCAACATCTTTCCCTTGAAATAAGACAACCGTTTGTTTGTTTGCAGCACCCTAGCTCCCTTCTTCACCCATTTATAAAGGACGGTCCTGAAGCAACATTTTCCAACCTGTGCCTCTTTCAAGAGGTGTGGACTTCAACTCCCAGAATTCTCTGACAAGCAAACGTTCCACCATTTACTACTAACTGGTTGTTCTATATAAATTATATATTTCTAATTAATTCACCCATACTGATATTTCAATTATTCATGGCCATCATTAACCCAATTGTCCTATAATCTTCCAGGTCCATATTTTCCAATCTTGGCCCTTTTTATTTCACCATCGGTGAATTAATTAAAATATATAATTTATGTATTTATAATATAATTTAGCCATAGGTGAATCAGTACTGGCATTTCAATTATTCTTCGTGGCCATCTTTTTCCTTCCAGGTCCGTATTTTTTTCAATCTCGGCACTTTTAAACTTTAATCCCAGAGTTTCCCACCCCATGTCGGCTGGAGAGTTCCTGGGTCGAAGCCCAGCCGTCTTTAAAGGCACCCTATTCGGAAAAAACTCTGTTCCGGCGGACTCCCACCTGCAGGCCAAGGCCTTTTTGTGCTTCTCGAGAGAGCCCCCGGTTTCTTGCCCACTTAGCGCCTTGAGGCCAAAGGCAACGCCGCACAGAAGGGAAGGGAGAGAACGGCAAGAAAAACACCTGGCGCTAAGGCAAGCATCCAAGACGAAGAAAGGCAAGCGCCGGCCTCCTCCCAAGTTTTCCCACCGAAGGCAAGCAGGGCGGGACGTCACTAATCCTCCCCCCGCACCCCCGAAAAAAAACCCCTTGTATTGCAGACGACTACTCTCCTCCTTTCCACAGCGCGCGGCGCGCTTTGGCCAATCCGCAGAGAGGACGAGCCAAAGGTGGAAAAAGGGCGGGGTGGGGAGGGCGACGCAAAACCCGTTGCTGAGAGACGACCCCCCCCCCCAATTTCCCTGTGGGATCGCCCCCCCCCCCCCCCACCCCCCCCCCCCCCCCCCCCCCCCACCCCCCCCCCCCCCCTCCCCCCCCCCCCCGCGGGCGCGCTGAATTGGTGACAACCCGTAACTGTTTTTCCCGCCTTTGGCCTCCTCCGCGCTCACCCGCTCGTTTCCCCTTTTGCGAGCAGAGACAGCCGCACCCCGACCTCTTCTTTTTCTTCTAGCTCTCGGAGCTCGCCTGACTTCCCGCTGAGCAGTAGCAGCAACAGCAGTTCCACAGCTTCTGGCAGGGCCGCAAACAGGAAGTGCGTCACGCGCAGACAGCGGAAGAACCCCCGTCCTTAATTGTTCCGCGCGTTTATAGAGCGAGTTAATAAAAAGAAAAATACCAAGAGGGGTGTATATGTATAAACAGCCGAGGACTTCCGGGACAAGAGGTTCCACCCCTTTCTGGGGAAATTCCCGCAAAGAGAGGGCCCGAGGCGCCTTTTCCGGGACTGACACGTGTTTCAAAAAGCTCGAGGTGGGCTGAGAGCGACACTTTGGAGGTCAACTGAGAAAGGGCCGGAGAGATGAGGATAACAGGGCTGCTTGAACCTTCCTCCTCACCTTAGGCCTATGAGGAGCGAGGAGGGCCGCTACCTCGCTCTGCCGCTAGGATTCCTCGCGCCACAGAAAGGAAGGGCTTCATTAGAAAGAAGCCCACCGCTCTGGGCCGGAACTTGTTTACGGGTCTGTTCCCGGGTCACAGCTGTGAGGAAATCTGGGATTTCTTCCCGGTTTCACTTCCTCCACGAGAAGGCTGGAAGGAAACAGCAACAAAGGAGGGCGGGTGTGGGAAAGCAAGAGTGGTTTTGGATCCGGAAATTCCCCTGAAGTCATGGGGCGAGTCACTCTAAACTACGCGTCTCTATGTTAACTTACTTCCGAGGAAGGGGAGGTAGGGAGACACCCGCCGAGGAATTTCGTCACGGCCTCAACGTTCCGGAAGGTTCTGGAATAAGTTGTCCGAATGTTTACCAGCCTTCCCGCCTCCTCTTGGGGGAAGTTAGTGCTGCGCTTGCCCCCTAGTGGCTGCCTCGAAAATAGCATCTCATGGAAAGGATGGCGACAAGCCCAGGAGAGCGGGAGAAAATATTTTTTAAAATTATTGTGTGCGCCTTTTAAGTCACGGCGGCTGCCTCGATTAATCCCTGCAGCTTTCTAGGGTTTGCCCTTGCTTCTATTGGTAGAAATACCCTTCTGGGTTCAGTTCCAAGTGGGGAAAAAAACACTGGAAACATGGAGGCTGTTTGGAAGGTTTAATGGCCTCTGGAGCTCCAGAGTGAAAAGGAAGGATGATCATGTGATCATCAAGGTGAAGGAAGAGATCAAGAAAACAAAAATGGCTGAGGTGCTGAGAGTGCCTGGATTTTATAACCTTTGTTGGGATTTGAATTGAAGCTTGTTTCTAATTGGTTGCCAAGCTCCCATGGGGCCATGCAGGGGCAACTCTGTAAGCTGTCCTGAGTTCCAGGCTTGGCTGAGCCTTGCTGGATGCACTGAAAGGGCTTTTGAGCAATTGCTGTAGCTTTACCTGGAGATCTTTGTTATGTAAAGTATTCTGGCCCAGGCCTTAATGGCCCACCCATAAGCAAAGGTGGGGGTGAGTCTCTGCCTCTGGAGTTTCTATTCTTTTTACAGGAAATATTCTGCCTTTTTAATATTTCCTAGAATATTTCAATTTTCTAGGAGTGGGGTGGGTGTTAACTTCCTACAGTCCCCAAAAAGTGTTAAATATTACTTGATACTGTGTTTTCTGCTGTTGGAAGAAATGTCCATCTAGGTTCAATTCCAAGTGGAGATACACACACTGGAAACATGGAGGCTGCTTGGAAGGCTGGCTTAATGGTGGACAGGATCACATAGGTTTGAAGTCCTGGGTAACTGACCACATGGAGAGAGAGAGATGTGTGCGCGTGCGTATGTATACCTTCTTTTGGGCCTTGCCTTTGAGCTTCCTGTTCCTATGCAAGAAATGTATCCTATTATCTGTCAGATTCTCAGAGGGCGTGAGTCTTAGCTTTGTAGGGTGTCTTGGGTCCCAGGCTTAGTTGAATCTTGGGTGAAGCAATGAAGGGCAATTTCCTATTGTAGCTGAATGGCTTTGCCCTGAACAATAGACTGGCCCAGTCTTTTTGTCTTGTAGACAAGCTGGCACCAAAATATTTGCTGGGGGCAATGGGCTGAGCTCTTTTGTTTCTGTTTCCTTTTAAGATTTTTTAAATTTGTCTTTTAGGAGAAATATTCTGCCTTTTTAATATTTCCTAGAATATTTCATTCTTCTAGCAGAAGGGTGGGTGCTAACTTTCTATATTGCCCTCCCAACTTAATTTCATCTTTTGCTTCTAACTCAGTTGAATTTCTATAATAAATTGCATTGCACAATATAAAAGTTTATATTTTCGATTAACAGAATAGTTTTAATCAACAGAAGAATACAGTTCTGCAAAAAGCTTTAAAATATTTAATGCTGTAGATTATAAAATAATATATTATAAAATAATATTTTTAAAATGTTGAGTTTCTTGTCAGATATTGTATTTTAGAAAAGGGTTATCTGTAATATATACTTTATGTATTTAAATGAAAAAAGACAATTGTGAAAAAATAGAATTGTAACAGTTAACATAAATGAAGCAGCTTGGAGCAAAACGAAAAAGAAAATCGTTTTATTTCTGTACAAGGAAACTACAAATAGCATTTTAACACTTCATTTTGTATCCAAGTCATGAAATTATACATTTTTATACTAATACTAGCAAACATCTTCAAACCATTCAGACCCCTTTTGCACATTGAAAATATATTGCTGTTTACTGCTAATAATTAAAGTTAGGAGCTTCTTCAGCAGTAAAATTGCTTTTAAGTTTGGAGACTACCAGCTGAGGGTCCCCTCAGATCAATAGTTCCAAAGTCTCTTTCACTGCCCCAAAAGGACATACTTGATTCTGCCAGTTAATGCTTTAGGGACCCAATTGTATCATTTTTTTCTTTAAAAAAGTGACAATTGCACATGAGAAAGATTGATTACGTGTGATTATCAATTCTGAATTATTTCTTTTTATCTTAAGTATTTCTTTTGGCAATCAAATGCAATCAAGTATCCCTACCCCCTCATCCTCTGTCCTGTTGATAGAACATATAAAATATTTTTCACCAATTGCATTCCAGGTAGAGTAAATGAAAGAGAAAATGAAAACACCTGCAAGCTTTCAGCTACAAAGAAGGAAGCCTGATTCTTTTATACAAATTTATTTTAATAGTTGTTACACAAATTCCTTTCCTACTGTCATAACCATTTTATTTATAGTATATGTTAAAGTAATATGACTTTTTCAAAGCTACAGGCACAGAGAAACAATGGAACAGATCAGGAAAAAACAATTACATTATTTGAAACATTGTGCAACTGACTGTGACACTGGCTAGGAGAATGACTGAAGAACAGACATACTTATTCAGGTAGATAAAAATCTTTTTTTTAAAAGGCCAAATAAATTTCTCAATCTTTCATCTAAAAACATTTATTTTTCCACTTGCAAATAAATTGGGAAAAATGGTAAACAATTTCTGCCTCTTCAAAAGAGGTGAGATTACTTGAGTTGCAGGCCAGTTTTCAAACGTTCCTTTTCCCTCTCCAGGAATATCACCCTGTTTCTTCCCCATCGACTACTCTGCAGTATACTTGCATCAACTTATTGCCACTTAGTGGAATTGTTTGTGTTCAAACAGCACAAAGCCTTCATCTTTGGTTATTTTCTTGAAGATGTCATTGTCCCAAAGGTGCTCCCTCTTGGAAAGCTCTTAGCAACTGCTCCTTTTTGAATCTGATCCAGAAAATCTCAGTGGGGTTTGAACTCCCAAAAAATGACAGCCAGTTAATGCCTCACATTAAAACGGAAACCTACTTGAGGATAATTCAATGGGAAAATGAGTTGCAAACATTTATATGGACCTCTCTTAATCTGCTAGATATGTGTATGTGTGAGTGGCTTAAGGAATAGGCACTGATTTACTTCCTCTGCAAAGCATTCCATCACAGCTTCAATTCAACTCAGCTCAAATCCAGCAGCACATTCAATTGCATAAAGCAGCTTGCTCCGCATAAGGTGTTCATCACAGAATTCTGGAAGTTTTAACAAATTCATACAGGTACTGGCAGTGGGTAGTCGCTCCAAATCAGAGCCCCCGTTGTGAATGCAAAAAGCAGGGTACAATTCCTGTGGCCGGAGAAAAAATAAGGAAAAAACAATGAGAAGTTTTAAAAATGACTTTCGGTGCCATCTCCGTGCCTGACTGTAATCATGACCCTAAAGAAGCATGTGACAGTAACAGTAATAGTCAAAAGATATCATTTTCACTCTGGAGATCAGATAACCTTTAGTAATGTAAAGTTGGAAAAATGGGACATTGTAATTCAATAATGAAGTGGAAGGATGATTAACATACAATATAAAAACCTCTAAAGAAATAAACATTCAGTTCGTCTGATGAATCAATCTATTCTCAGAAGGGGAGAACAGAGGGGTCTCAATGCAATTAAAAGGCATTTCCATTGGATGCCTCGTCAACCTCAAGTATATGAAGGCTGTGAGAGCACTTGATTGATTATAAATCATCTGCAGAATAATAGATCTCTAATATAGCATGGTATGTCATTGTTGCAGGAGCGGTACTAACTAGCAACTGATTTCCAGTGCAATGAAAGATGCTATCACCTACAAAACTTTGTGTGTCTTTTAGGCAAGATATACCTGAGACTAACTGCTTTACCCATCTGTTATGATCCAGCAGAAGGTGGTATACTACAATTTCTCTTCCCAGGAGTTCCAATGGGAAGATGCCTGTAAGCTAGCCTTCTCAGCTGTACCCTCCCTTTTTAAAAACAATAAGCTAATAGGTTAAGAGTTGCTCTCTTTAATGTCATTTGGGAATCCAGCTAAGCTGTGCTTCTTCTGCAGGGCTTTTGAGATGAAATGTGAAGGCTGGCTCTGGAGTAGAAAATGAAAAGTGAGTTATAGTGAGTTTGATTGCAAGAGAGATTGGATGTTAAATCATTTCATTATGCATGTTGTTTTATACCATGTAATCTAGGGATGGAAGGGCCTAGGGATTGTACAGGGAGTCCTTGTTCAGCAACTGTAATTGGGACTGATGACAGAGTTATTAAGTGAAGTGGTCACTAAGTTAAAAAAAACCCACACACTGGGTTAACAATTTTAAACAGGACAAAATATACTAACTGGTGAACATGTGACTGAGAGGTGCTACGTAG